GGTGGGGGGCATGAGAGCAGAAGCCGCGCGACCCCCGCAGTGCAGCCACCGCCGCCGCGGCCTCCGAGGGGCTCTGAGCCGGGCGGGTCGCCGGGCCGCCCCCAGCACGGAGGCCGCGCTCAAACCCTCGAGGAGGCGGCGGCGCGCCAGCCGCGGGGCAACATGAAACACGCGGGGCGACTGCACGGACGCATTGAGATGCGGGGAGCCGGCTCGGCGCGGACTCGCTCTCGAGGTCAAGTGACGGACGGATTGTATGCTTCTTCATAATAATATTAATTAAACAATTTGCATGCTAATAAGGTAACAATTATCAGGGCCTCTGTTGAAAGATTCAGGTTATTACAACACGCCAATCTGAAGGCCAGGGGTCAGAGAGTGAGAGGCGAGCGAAATTTCAACTCAAATTAACATTCTGTCAGCTCCAGAAAATGGGATAAATAAAGTCGAATTAATTCATTATAATAAAGAGAGATGGGCGCGGGAGCCCGGCCGGCGCCCGCCCCTCCGCGGCCCTCCCCTCGGGCCCGATTGATTGCAGCTCTGTATTCAGAAACACGCGCCGCGCGCGTTCCTCCCCCGAACCGACCGAGAACCAGGCGCTTATGGCTACGGGCGAAATCGAGTTGGAGGGACAGAGTTTACATTTAGTATTTATAGAGAAGAAATTAAATTATGGCGAAAAGTAGTGCTCTTGGCCCCTGACCTCGGAATTAATCCTCGCGGCCCGTTCCTGCGCCCCAGTTTCCAGGCCTCCTCTCCCTCCCTGAGATGCGGGCCTGACCCCAGCCGCTGCTCCTCTCCCTCTCCTGCAGCAGGGACGGAGACTGGAGGGTCATCAAGTCGTAGGTGGTGGCAGGGCGACTCCAGTTAGGACCCTAATCCCCAGGCTGGTCTCGCGGAGGCCGGCGTGGCACACGCGCGGTAGAGGGGTGCACGGCTTTGACCCCGCCCCCTGCAGCCTTACCTCTCCCGCCGGTGGCCGGGGCGGTTACGTGCACCCCTCTCCGGACACGGACAGGACACGCGGGCAGGGACAGACACAGGGCCGGCACAGGGTGGGGCTCGGAGACGCGCCATCGTCCTGCCCTTCCCCTGCGAGCGGGCTCCCAGCTTAGCAGCCTGGCCCAAGCCACTCAACACCAAAGGCCAACCTTTCTGTCGCTCTGGCCAGGGTCTCCCAGGCCAGGCCCCGGCGCACTCTCCTCCCTGCGGTGGGGGCTGGCCCGGCCTGGTCTAGGCACCTGGGGCTGGAGCAGAAGAACCTCCCCACTGACAAACTTTTGTACAAAAGATATTATATATAAAATGACTTCTTCCCCTTCCACCCACAGCCCTCATTTGCTGCGTATACAGGAATGTGTCCTTCCATGATTTAGCTCGGAGCCTGCCAATATTTCACAGTGGGGCAGGGGGCGACCCTTCCCCGAGAACGAGGTTTAATTGTAACAAATGGGTTGGGTGCCTCCGTCCTGTTCATTCCTGTTCTTTACAGGCCGGGTCAAAGGGGGGTGCGTTTCCCCCCCAGTGTAAGGGGCCTCATTGGCTGCCACCCCAAAGTTACTTTCCCCTTCCCCCCTCGGCCTGTCCGTCTTCCCTGTGCCCCATCTTCCCCTAACCCGGGTCGGGGGAAGGTGGGGGCAAGGTGCCCCCTCGGCCACCCCATCTGTTTTTGCAGACGGGGCGGCTGCCAGTCAACCCGAGAGGGCATTAAGGAAGCCTCTTTATTGACAGGCGCGGCGTCGGCAGGAGTGCTCCTCTCTCGGAGTCACGGCCGCCCTCCCTCCCCTCTGCCTGCCGCCTGGAGCCGGAGAGGAGATGAGAAGCCCTTGTAGTTTTAAATTCAATGTGACAGTTTCGGAAAGAGCGGATGATGAATCTCCTATTATTGGATCAGTCTATTTGCCGCTCAATGTCTCTCTGTAATTGGAGCAACATCACTTTAAAGGTTCAGAGAGTACAGCATTTCTGGTGAAAAATCCCCACAACACGCGGTGAATGTTTTAAAGGGAAATCTATTAGTGATTTGTGGAGGGGCGGGAGCCGGCGGCGGGGAGGCGCGGGCTGGGCCAGCGGGGACTTAAGTGGGGGGCTCGCCAGGGGCCCCTGCCCGGCTGCTCCCCGCGCCCGCGCCTGCCCAGCGCCGGCCGCGCCCCCTCCCTCCCTGCCGCCCCCCCCCCCAACGTCTTGTTGTGACAGTTCCTGATACTGTTTATTGAGGTGCATGTCAGGTATAATTAGCAATCGATATGGAAAACGTTTCCTTGCACCCAGCACGCCTCTGACGTCAGAGCCGATTAGCGCTTCTTATTGGTCCCAAATTCCCCCGGCCGCGGCTAATTATCGGGAGCTTGATGTTGATAAAGTAAAGCGCCGAGTGCGGGCGAAGCATGTGTAGGGCTCCGGGTCCCTGTCTGCGCCGCCGCCACCCGCGCGTCCCGCCGCTGGCCCAGCCCGGCCCCGGCCTGCGCCCCCGCGCCCCGCTGGCCACCCGCTCGAGATGATGGACGGCCGCCTCCTGGAGCACCCGCATGCCCAGTTCGGGGGCTCGCTCGGCGGTGTGGTGGGCTTCCCCTACCCGCTGGGCCACCACCACGTGTACGAGCTGGCCGGCCACCAGCTGCAGTCGGCCGCCTCGGTGCCCTTCTCCATCGACGGCCTGCTCAGCGGCTCCTGCGCTGCTGCCGCCGCCTCGGTGGTGAACCCCACGCCGCTGCTGCCAGCGGCCTGCGGGGTAGGCGGCGACAGCCAGCCTTTCAAGCTGTCAGGTAGGCGCAGCATGCGGGGAGTGGGATGGGGCTGGGGGGCCAGGGGACCCTCTCGGGTGGAGGAGTTAGTTTCGCGCGGCAGCGCTCCTGGGTCCCGCCCTCCACCCTGAGTCTGGGCGCGCGCAGCCGCCCTCTCCATGGCCCCGGGACCCGGGGCGGCCAGCAGGCATTAGCGTGGGAGGTGGATCCGGCTCCAGCAGTGCCTGAGCCGTGCGGCGTCCTGTGCACGCCCGCAGACACGGGGGACCCAGACAAGGAGAGCCCGGGGTGCAAGCGGCGGCGCACCCGCACCAACTTCACTGGCTGGCAGCTGGAGGAGCTGGAAAAAGCGTTCAACGAGAGCCACTATCCCGACGTGTTCATGCGCGAGGCGCTGGCGCTGCGCCTGGATCTGGTTGAGTCCCGCGTTCAGGTAAAGACCCGCGTCCCTCTCGGAGCCCACAGCCAGCAGCCTGCTGGTTGGCCTACCCCGCGCCGGCCCGCCTTTGTTCTGGGTGGCGCCGCATCCTCGTTGGAGACCGGCTGGCGCTCGCCGGTGGGAAGGTGCTGGCGGTGGCGGTGGGTATTTCGGGGCCAGCGTCTCTTAAAGAGGGAGGTGTGAGTCCCTAAAAATCGAGGTGGCTCGGGAAGTCCAGCGGCCGCCCCAAAGTGGCGAGAACTGGAGCTGCGTCCCAACCGGGAAGCCGTGTGGTGGGGTCTGGCGAAATGAGACCTGCGGCCTGGGCGGGAGAGGTGGCGAGGAGGCACGGCGGGCTGGGTGGGGAGAGACCCCGCGGTGGCAGACCTGCGCCCCTGTGCCCCTGCACCCCTACACCCTCCAAGGGCTCGGTTCCCCCACCCGGAGTGGGTGCGTTTGTTTACTCACCTCTGAAATATTCCGGGGGAAGCAGGTACTTCCTCGTCCCCTTGTGGGAGGGGAAGCTGAGGAAGGGGGACTGAAACTTGAACCGCTAACACATTGAGAAAAAAGGTGTCTGAATCTTTAATACCCTCGTTGTTACATCTTTTTCTTTTTCCTTTTACCGTCATTTGATTTTTATCCGGAGGCCGCCGGCGGTATTCTTTTTGAAAAACACAGCGTCATTTGGGTAGATTAAAAATTTAAGAAGAATTGTGCACGGTTAGATGTTTCCCTGAAGGATGGCAACCTTCTGGGTGGCGAGTGGGGGTGCGGCTGTGGGCCCCGCTCTGGGGCAGAGGCGGCTGCCGCGGGACCAGCACCAGGAGCTTTGTCTGAAGGTGCGGCGGCCCGTGGGCTCCACCTCGCCCGGCAGCCTCGCCCGCTTGCACGTCCTTTCGTGCCATCCGTTCTGAGTGTGTTCGGTGAAGTCAAGACCTCTTCGTTTCTCCCCTAAGGCCACGGTGAACGATTCTCGGTGATGAGGTGGGCTGGAATTTGCACCCTCCAAAAAAAGTATTAACAAACAGACAAGGAAAAAAAACAGGAGTGGGAAGAGGGGGAGGAAGAAAGTGCCCCAGCCTGGGAGAGGCTGCCACGCAGTACGCGCGCCGTGGTACCCACAGGCTGCCAGCAGCCACGCCGGGCCTGCTGCCGAGCTGCGCCTGCCTCTGTGGCCGCAACAAAGAGTTTGAATGATGGCGTGCTCCCAGGGAGGCGAGGGTGCCTGACCCTCGGCCGGGGTTTGTGCGTGGTGCAGAGGGGGCCTAAGGGCTGCTGTTCCCCGGAGGCCGCGCTCCCCAGACCGGGCCTGCGGAGAGTGGAAGAGGCCGGATGGCCCGGCCTCTCCTCTGCGAGGCCTGGCAGCCGGCCTCCCCTTTCCTGCCTCCCCCACCCTACTCCGAAAGCCAGGCGCAGCTGGTTTGAGAGCGCCGTTTTGGTGCCTTGCCCTGAAAGAGGATGTGTGTGTGTCTGTGTGTGTGAGGGGAGGCTGCCGAAGCTCCCCTCCCCCAAACCGGGCTTGGCTTCCCAGGCCCTGCTAGAAGCAGCATCCAGATTTCCCTTCACGGGAACGGCCAAAATCTGGGCTTTGGCTCAGTCTCCAGGGGCCGAAGACAGGTGTGAAGGGCGGCTGAGCCCGGCCGCCTGGTGTCCTCGGGCCAGACGGTCAGCGCCAGGCCCGGCGGGCTGCTTAGAACACGAGCTGTGAGGAGCCAGGAGAGGCAAGGCGGGGCCCTGCTCTCTACTCCGGACCAGGACCCCAGCCCGGTGCCCTCAGTCGGGGGCCAGACTGGCCCTGCCCCACAACGGGGCCGCTCCCATCCCCAAGGTGAGAAGCCGGAGTGGGAAGCCGGCTGAGAGGCCCGACTACCTCCTTCTGTGTGGGAGAGACGCCCTTTGGAACCTGCAGCCCGAGCGCGGACAGCCATCTCCAGGCCGCCGGCCACGTGGCTGGGCTCCCGCCCCCTGGCCGAGCCCAGCAGGTCGAGCGGGCCGTCTGGGGGAGTGGGGAGGCCCGCAGCCCAGCGGCAAGCCCGCCGCCTGATCGTGCCTTCCTTTCCCCGCCCGGCTGCTCTAGGTCTGGTTCCAAAACCGGCGGGCCAAGTGGAGGAAGAAGGAGAACACGAAGAAGGGCCCGGGGCGGCCGGCACACAACTCGCACCCGACCACGTGCAGTGGCGAGCCCATGGACCCCGAGGAGATCGCCCGCAAGGAGCTGGAGAAGATGGAGAAGAAGAAGCGCAAGCACGAGAAGAAGCTGCTGAAGAGCCAGAGCCGCCACCTGCACTCGCCCGGCGGCCTGTCCCTGCACAGTGCACCCAGCTCTGACAGCGACAGCGGCGGGGGCGGTCTGTCCCCGGAACCACCCGAGCCGCCGCCGCCAGCCACTGTGGCCAAGGGCCCCGGCGTGCACAAGGCCGGCGCCGCAGGTCCTGCGCCTGCACCGCCGGGCGAGCCGCCGGCTCCGGGCACTTGTGACCCCGCCTTTTACCCGAGCCAAAGAAGCGGCGCCGGCCCGCAGCTGCGGCCAGGCCGCCCCGCGGACAAGGATGCGGCCCCGTGTGCGCCCGGAGTGGCGGCGGCAGAGCGTGGCGTCGCGGGCCTGCCCAAGGCCAGCCCGTTCAGCGTGGAGAGCCTGCTATCCGACTCACCGCCACGCCGGAAAGCCGCCGCCGCCGCTGCGGGGCTGGACTTCGCGCCGGGGCTGCCGTGCGCGCCGCGGACCCTCATCGGCAAGGGCCACTTCCTGCTCTACCCCATCACGCAGCCGCTCGGCTTCCTGGTGCCGCAGGCCGCGCTCAAGGGCTGTGCGGGTCCCGAGCCCGCGCCCAAGGACGCGCCGCCCGCGCCCGCTGTGCCGCCCGCGCCGCCTGCTCAGGCCAGCTTCGGGGCCTTCCCAGGGCCCGGCGGCCCTCCGGACTCGGCCTTCGCGCGCCGCAGCCCCGACGCTGTCGCCTCTCCCGGGGCCCCGGCGCCTTTCCGGGATCCGGCCGTGGCCGAGGGCGGTGGCGGTGGCGGTGACTGCTTGGACGCAGGAGTTGCCTGCCCGGCGGCCCCGCCACCGCCACCCCTCCCGCCGTCACCCGGGTCCGGAACGCAGGCGCCCAGCCCCGCCGGGGAGCCGGCCATCTGTGGGGGCCCCGAGCCAGGTGCCGCGGCCGGACCCAGCGTCCCGGAGGCCGAGGAGGTGGACATGGACTGAGGGCGGCCGACAGCGGCGCCCAGCCGGCTCCGCCGGCGGCTCAGGCTCCGACTCACAACGAAATCAGGTGATGGGGTTAGAAATACTGCTTTTTCCTCTTTCTTCTGTTTTCTCCTCCCCCCTCCCCTTTTTAAAAAACGCTGTATCAATTCGGGCCTAGGCAGCAACCGCAGGACTTGGGGTGAGACCTCTCTCCTCAAGGGAGCGGAATAAAAAACGAGAACAAAAAAAACAAAACCCTAAAAACAAAACCGAACCCGTACTCCTCCCCCCCCAAAAAAAACCCACAACAAGAATCCTCAGCCTTGTAAAATGGAAAATTGTCTAAGAATATTTATATATGTACCATTTTTGATAAATAAAGCTGGTCAAACGCAAGAGCTCAGGTCCTTCATTTTCAGATTTCCGAGGGCCCCCGCGGCCCCCGCCCCCCTCCCCCTGCTCTCCCCGAGGGCGGGGCGGGGCCGAGGCTCCTCACCTCCCCCGAGGTCTGCGCTTAGGCCTCCTTTTGTGTGCGTGTGTGTTTGTGTTTTCTGATTGAACAAATTTATGCACCCGCAGCTCCCCCTCGCCTGCCCTCCCCCGCGCCCCCCTGCCACCCGGCGCCGCACACGCGCGCACACGCACACGCGCCCCCGCGCGCTGGCACACGCCAGGGCAGGCGGCGCGGGGTGACGGAGCCGGGGGCTGCGAGGGCCGGGCCGCTGGGCTCCTGCAGAGTTTTGATATGAAAGTAATTATTTTCCGGTGGCTGCTGCGGGGACTGGGTTTCTTGCCCAAAGGGTTATTATACATTACCGATTTCTAGTGATATGAAATCACATAAACTTCTTACAATAATAGAATTAGCATGAAAGGCTGGGGTGTCAAATTGAAATTGGAGAATAATAGCGCCGGCAGCTGGGGGAGTGCGTGCGCATATTGGAGCGGAGATGGGGGATCGTGGGGCGGAATTTTCATGAGCTGCGCTCTTTGTCAGCGCTCTTGTAGCCGGCTATATTAAGATAGATGCCCAATGATATCCCTCATTGTTCTGTCGCTTATATTGATGTTGCTGCGTTATCAGCCTATTGATCATGTGTCGCCTGTAATAGGACAGGCGCCGCCAACGCGCCTCTTTACAAAAGCAG